GTTGAATTATACGCGCGTATTGATTGATTCTTTCCTATGATCGATTGGAGGACTGACGCATAGATGACATCACCGCGATATTTTTTGCTCTTTTATCACAAAAAAAATATTTTATGTTGCTGGGGTCTGCCGTGCAGTGATAAATCACAGAAGACGCCAAAATGTGGTAAGAACATCAGTGATACACTCGGCTGCGCTTTGTGTGCCACTTTCTTGTGTTCTTACCACGCTTTGATCTCTGTGTTCTGTTACTGTACAGACGCACGGCAACATGAAATCTATTTATTAAACTGCAAACCATACTTCGACCTCTTTAAACCGACTCTCCTTTCTTCTCCCATCTGAGCATCTGAAAGACGTTTGAACGCTTCAAATCATGTCATAATAATAATAATAATGGTTTATTAACAGTGTATCCACCTAGGGGCTCTTCACCTGTTAAAAAACTACAATATAAAATGAAAATTGCAATATACTACAAAAAAAAAAAAAACAAAAAAAAAGTAAGAAGTCTACATTATAAAAAAACAATAATATTGGACTATAAAAGGATAATGTATGAAAATGTAACATATATTGGTAATAGCAATACAACCCTATATGCAATTTACAAACTATTTACAAATGTCATTCTGATTTCATTCTGATTTCGTGAGATATTAGCACGATAAGTGACATATACGTTCCAAATAAATGAAAAATTCATCCTCCTTGCTAAAAAGCAACCTCAGCTGAAACGAGATACGAATATAGCGTTTCAATTACCAAGAGCATTTTTCATACTGTCCTGTCGTGTCGAACTGAACCTCCTGAGGTGGAAAACTTATCATTTTTAGAATAATTATAGCTGATTTGTGTGATATTTATATATTATTTAACAGTAAACGCTTGCTTAAAAGCACACAACGAAAGGCGCGCACTTCATGGAGCGAGTCCGCTGGTCTGGGATGAAACGCTTGTAGAGCATGCGCAGGTCTGGGCAGATCACCTGGCTGCGACTGGTAAAATTCATCATGACCCAAACCGAGACGGCGAAGGAGAGAACATAGCTTGGTTTAAAGGATACAAAACTGCAGACTGTGAAGATGCTTTGGTAGGCTGGTAAGCCTAACGTCCTTTATCCATTAAATTTCAGTCCCTTTCGAAATTTTAAAAAGGGTTGTACACAATGTCCATCACGAAACTTTTCATTTCTAGATTAATGCATCCAGTAAACTTTTCTAGTTAACAGCTCACTACTACAGCAATTTCTTCCACTGAATGAATACTAAATGAATCTTCTTCGCATGGTACCTCATATAAGATTATCTAATCTTATCAGTTGACTCCAAGCTATGATACCTTCCATCTCTCTCTCTCTCTCCTTGCAAGGTACGACAGAGAGGAACCTTTGTACAATTATGAAAAGCCTGAATTTTCTCCCGGAACGGGCCATTTTACACAGGTAATTTCCTGAATCTTACACAAATAGTACAATATATGACGGATTTTAACTGAGGTTCGAAGGGAATCTGGGATTGTCTTGGTTTTACTTTATCTCGCCTTGTGATTGGACTAAAAAACTCGCGCCACCGTCTTGAACAATCAGATGCAAGACTAATTGTTTGTTGATCGTCCGCGTTTACGCGCGCCACAAGCCGTATTCTTAATTTTCCAGTGCTATTTTCTTTGTTCTGATGGGCCGGTGAGAGAACTCTTGTTTGAATTTTACGTCACTTAAACGAAAAGCGTTCTATTACCTAACAGACAAGATGAAACCAAGAGTATTTATCAAAGAGGATCTGGTAAAACCAGAAGCCAAAAAAAAGCAACGAAACGTTTTGGATTCAGTTTATGGAAACGAAGAAATGATTCTCGCAGGTCAGCTGCGGTTAAAGACCAAAAATCACGAAGCCTAGAAAGTCACACTTCAACGGGATTTGAACGAGCCGACTAAATACTACTTAGCCGCTATTATAAGTCTCATTGACAAATCCAGGCAGCTTTTAGAGGGTTCTTCGTCCCGTAAAGGAATCTTCTCACAATCAACTCAAACGAAATAAAGGGAACAAGTTTCTAAAGAAACTGTGGTGCTACGTCAATAGGGGAGTATGACAAGATAGTTTCATTTCATCAACTGGGTTCATAATGTAAATTGGCCACCGCAAAGAATTTCTGAAGCTGACGTTTCGAGCGTTAGCTCTTCGCCATTTGCTCTGACGAAAGACAAACGCTCCAAATGTTAGCCTTATGGGGCCAATTTACATTAGCAACTCAGTTTATTAATCCAAATTAAGAAATAGATACACTGGATCGAAAATATAACAGTTTTGAACACCCTTGAAATGTTTTTAGGTTGTATGGAAGGCTTCCACGGCTGTAGGAGTCGCTCAAGCTTTTAGAGGTTCTGGCTTTTCGAAAGAGATCTTTATCGTAGCTCGTTATAGTCCTTCGGGAAACGTTTTGAGAAGATTTAGAAAAAATGTGGGGGAGAAAAGAAATCAACCAAACACCACGCCTAGTTGGAACCGTTCATCCGCCGGCGGCCTCAGAACTACACCTGAAACCTTAGTTACCAAGAAAGCAGTGACAACAATTCAACCTTCAGTGCCCGCCACATCTCTTACAGCAGAAGGTAAGAAAACGATTGAGCTACGCAAATTTAGACTGAATCCCCTTCTTCTTCCATCATAGCACCTGGACGACGTTTGAACGATCAACTTGCATAAGGTCATTCTGATTTCGTAGGAAAGTAGTCTTATTACTTAATTCTTAGACCCTTAAAGAGTGACCAGCATCTAATTTCTCCGTACAATATCATCCCTAAATTAAACAATAAGGTCACAAGAATAAAGGAAATGATCTAAAGAAGCTCTTGCTTGTTCAAAAAGATTTTCCTTCTCATAAGCTAAAGAAATGTATAGAGAACGGTATGGAAACTACGCATATTGATGTTCGGTCGCAAAAGGTTGGGGACATTATATTCAGTCATAATTTCAATGCTACTCCCTTCGTTAAAAGGCAGCCTAAGCTACAATGAGATATTTCAAAAATGCTTTCCGGTAGTGCATTTTCATATCGCTTTGTGTTTTTTTCAGCCCTATAACTGATCTTTTATCATCTTTTTTTTTCATAGCAAAAAGCTTGCTTAAAAGCACACAACGAAAGGCGCGCGCTTCATGGAGCAAGTCCATTGGTCTGGGATGACACATTGGTAGAGCATGCGCAGGTCTGGGCTGATCACCTGGCTGAGACTGGTAAAATTCGTCATGATCCAAACCGAGACGGCGAAGGAGAAAACATAGCCTGGTTTAAAGGTCACAAAACTGCAGACTGTGAAGATGCTTTAGTAGGATGGTTAGTGGCACTTAAGTTTTGTAAACAGTTTATTTCTCAAAAAAGTTTTCTGCCAGCTTGCATAGTAAGAGAATGAATGAGACTTACATTAATTTTCTTGTTCTTTTTCTCCTCTTGAGGTACGATCGTGAGGAGCCAATGTATGATTATGCGAAACCTGGATTTTCTCCCGAAACAGGTCATTTTTCTCAGGTAAATTAGAAAGGCCTATATTAGTCACTCAATAAACGGAGTTCGCAGAAATCGTTGTATGCGTAGGTTATAGAAGTTAATTTCCTTATCAAGGTGGAGTGACCGACAAAAAAATTGGCATACATAGGAGACCATTTATTTGAAAGGAATACTTAGCTATCGAAATCCAGAGGCGTTTTCCGATTATGGCTATGCTTGATGGTGAAGAATAGAATATTACAGATCTAGTCCTTTGAGAACAGAATATAGCGCTAAAATTCAAGGGATACATCTTCGTGATGTCTCTAAGACAGACGCTATCTTTTGCGTATTTCAGGAGAGCGGAGATAAGTGAGAGGCGGGTGCGAAGGGCGAGGCACGCGCGAGGAAGGGGTACTCCGCCTCTCGCACGAAACTTGCCCTTCGCAGTTGGTGTCCCTCGCCTTTAAAACGCAATAAATGACCCTTTTCCCTCGAATAATGATGTCTACAACGCAACACTAAATGTCACTCAAACACTATATGTATTATTTGTTCAGGTTGTGTGGAAGGCGACTACAGCGGTTGGAGTGGCACAATCTTCTAGAGGCTCGGGCTTCTCAAAAGAAATTTTTATTGTTGCTCGTTACAATCCTACGGGAAATGTTCTGAGAAGATTTCAGAAGAACGTTGGAGTCAAGCGATCTAAAAGTTAAAGCATAGAATAGCATAATACACTTGTTCTGTTGGGCCTTTACATCAATCATGTTAAATGCCTTCGCGTTCACCATTGAGTAGCTTCTGAGTAACATGGAACACAACAACACTCTGCAAGAAACCAGAAGTAAAGAAATTTAAATATAATGAGCGTTGATTTTTAAAGCATCCTTTTCTAATTGAGCGACTAGAGATACTCGTCAATGCCAAAAGCAACTTTTTCCTGCGTTGCGTTTTCTTCTTGTACAGAGTTTGCGGCTAGTTTATCTATCGATCGATCTAGCTGCGAAGGTTCACGTGACAGAACTTGTGTAGCTGTTTTGAATTTAATCTGGAAAATTAAATTTTTTTATTGATGAAAATCCCCTGGTGCATTACATGCTGCAGTTTTCACCAGACTGTATAACAGGTGTTTCTAAAGGGGAGAGAAAAAAAGTGAAAGAAGGGTCATGGAGTGTCCACCTGCTACCTCCACTAACAGAAGGAAACTAAAATTCCATAACACGCTAAAACCCGTCTCTTCCAACCCCCTCCTCCCTTTTCTTCTGGCACATTTTTCAGTTGCCCGGTGCAAATTTCAACTGAAAAGTGTCTTGTCCTGAGGAACAACTCAGTAACAATACCAGGCCCTAATGAAACTGCCGAGCGACTTGATCAGGGTCCCACGTGTTAACTGTCAGGACACCACATTCCAAAATCAGGTGTCATGCTTTACTTGACACCTCAGGCCAGGTGCACTATCACAGCCGAGAGCTCAAAATTCTTAGGAGGATCTCTTTTAAGTAACTTTCTCTTACCCTCTCACTACAAAACAGTGATATCCCCCACTTCTTGCTTGAACCTTCCCCAATAGTTTCCTGGGGGCGTGTAACGAGCCACAACGTAGGTCTTAGTCCAGAATCCGCGCTTTATAGTGGCAATGCCGACACCCAGCTGCCTAGTAGACTTCCATACCACCTGTTGGGAACAAACCGTGCTTTTCTTGTTAACCCTTAAGAACTCTAAGAGTGACCAGCATGTAATTTCTCTTTAAAATGATACAGCTGGATCATTGACTAAGATCACGAGAATAAAGGAAATGATCACCAACCCAAGAAGCTTTGATTGTTGAACAAATTCTTCTCGTCAGTACCAAAGGTAATGTATAGAGAACAGTATGGAGAATATGCATACTGATGTCAGAATGTAAAGGATTGATGTAAGAGTCCAAAATTTTCTTGCGGTTTACGCTCCTTATGAAGGCTTAGTTGGCGATACTTTCGCATGTATCTACGGTTTACGTCCCAAAGTTTTTTGCGAATGTGTAGGAATATCCCAAACGAAAGTGGTTTGGGGTTTAGAAAGTACAAGCTAAAGCGGTCTGCGAACTGTTGCCCCTGGTAGCAGACTTGAACATTCTAAACCCCCCTTACTATATTCTCTATTCTCTAGTTATGATTTATGTTCATAATATTCCTCTCTTTATTCATCTCGTAACCCTTTGATTCCTAAGAGTGACTAACATCTAATTTCTCCTTACAATATCACCCTGAATCACACGTTAAGGTCACGAGAATAATGGAAATAATCATCAACTAAAGAAGCTCTTGATTGTTAAACAAATTCTCCTTATCAGCTCCTTAGGAGATGTATAGAGAACAGAATGGAGAATATGTATAGCAATGTTGGGGTGTAAAGGGTTGACTAGTAACAAAAAATTAAAGCACTCAACTGATACTCTTAACAAATAGGTTACGTCGTTGCTATGGCAACTTTTTAAGTCAGGAAAAATTCAATGATCCACACCTGTGTAAAATGTCCAATTTGAACACCAGGTACGTCAAAAATAGATTTCGGGGGATTTGAGAAAGGATAATCAGAAACTTCTCCATACCTAGGAAATAAAAATACAGGAATGAAAACATTAATGCAGAGATCAAAAATTGACAGAAATTATCTTTCAAGACAAAAAGACGGTCTTGCAACGTAAGTCAACCCAGGCATGTATACATATTACAGATAGTGCGCATGTGCCAATTTAAAAGAATACATCACCATATTACCATACTGCTTGCGTGAACCAGCGTCTCTAAATTTGCAGAATTTGTACAATGTGTCATGGGCAAGTTCTACATTCTGTTTTAGTAATAAGTAAAAACATTTCCGCAATTCCTCATACTAATTTGAATTAAATAGGTTACCAGGCATCAAGAGCGTCTTTGCATGTTGCTGTCTTTTCGCTGCTACCCATTGAGTAGTAAAGGTTTTCTCCCTCTCCTCTTACACGCGAATGCTCGAATTTATTCCGCTTTGCAAGGTCCAGGGCCCAAGCTTGAGCACTCCGGGCCAGTGTCCTGTTCCATGTCAGCGGTCTAGCCCCGTGCAGAGCACGTGCCAAGTTATGGGCTTCCAGACACTCTTTGAGGTTCACTGTTGATGAAGATGGAAGGATCGAATAGGTTTTTAACCAAAGAGTAAACTGAAATAATCATTGAAAACATTATTTGATCACTACCTCTCACAGGTCGGGGCCTTGGAGGTGGAGTAGGACGAGCTGAAATGAGAAAAAAGATGATAAAGATTATGCAAACTTTATTGAGTGATCGACAGTTCTATTGCGTGATAGTTGATGAGGGTGGAGCCTGAATCAACTGTCACGCCTGAAAATCCGGACAGAACAGAACAATCAAATAATTTCAGTTTAAATTTCCACCAATTGTACGAACCTTATGAACAAGACAAGCTTATATTTTTATTTTATTTTATTTTAAAACACAGAAATGTTCTTATTTACTTCTACTGTTATTTTTCCTACTACAACCACTACTTGTCTTCCATTTTTTTTTTTCTTCTTCTTCTTCAATTTTTGTGTTGGTTTGTGAAACACGTATTCACTAACTTACCAAAGCGATCATTATTCAGGTCTTAAATCACTCTAAACTTGGATGAACAGCTCCCTATAGCATTAATTCTTGAGCTTAAGATAGCCTAGAAGAAGACCCTTTAACCTCTAAGAGTGAGTAGCATCTATTTTCTCCTTACAGCATCACTCCTGATTCAAACATTAAGGTCATGAGAATAAAGAGAACGATCAGCAACAAAAGCAGCTATTGATTGTAAAAACAAATCTCATTGTCAGCACCTTAGGAAATATACAGAGAACACTATGGAGAATATGCATACTAGGATATTTTTTTTCTCTTTCGATAGGCCGACTTCTTTTGATTGGTTGCTACGACACACATTTAAAATTGGCTTTATCTAATAAAAAATTAGCTCTGTTAAAATGATCCCCATACAAACCTTGACAAATGCCGCAGGAGGCAGGACAGTTGGTCGACACAAAATCATAGTAGAGGTGCCCTTGATTACAGTATCCTTGCTTTTCCCAATGGTTACATCCGGCGTTTTTATCTCCTCCTCCCATGGGGCATACTAAAAGATGAAAAGAAAGTCGTTGAAAACATTCAAATCCACATAAGATTCACTGGAGAAGATATCGCACAAGAAACCGTTGAAAAAATTATTGCTCATATATCTCTGTTTCAAAAGTTCCCAGATAACTAAGGAAATGATTAAAACCAAATATTATCAGCATTGACTGCACCTTGCTTGAATGAATTACTACAGGTCCTTAAAATAAATTCGATAGAATTGTTAATTGGCGTAACAGAATTAATCTAACATCTTTGGGGGAACGAGTTATGACGATCACTCGCCTTTGAGATGTTACTATGGTGACTTAAACTTAAGCCTATGTGCAAGTTCAAATATAAAGTGGCTAAACATAATTTTTTTTAAATTTCTAATAATTGTATCGCGATCAGCTAATCGTAATTCTGTAATAAGACATGCACATCATCATGTTAGTCTTAAGCAACCAATTACGGAATCAAGGGTATTGTTGACTGCCAAAGCGGTTTCTGTGCGAGACTATGTAATGGAGATTATCAATATAGTCCCACAATGTTAGGAGATTTGATTGTTACAATATTTTTGTCATAAGATATGATGGATTTGATAAATTAAAGCGCAGGTTCTTAAGAGGGGAAATTTGTTAGTTCAATTCAGGTCATGATTTATGCTCGCTAAAATTTCTAAATTTTGCGTAGGTATTCTCTGAACTGGGAAACCACCAAAGAAACCTTTCCGACTTTTTAGATGACTTTTCTGGGCCTTGGGGAAGGTACTTACTAAACCTTGTGATAAAAACTGTTTAAAATGCGAAAAAAATTATCTCATGAAATTATGAAAAGGCAAAAAAAAAAAAAAGATGAAATTGCTTTTTTCTGAGATTTAACGAAATGTATACATGTACCTTAAAACAGATAGCTACCGGGTACACTTGCCTAAGTCACATGATCATGGGTAACTCAAGATCGAAATATTCACCTTTTCAAAGATTAAAACCATTTTGAGACAAGATTGTAACATTACTTACGGCCTTTCTTTGCAATGGCATAGCGGTGACGCGGGGGTCTGGCAGGTCTACCAAGCTTGCGATGCCGACATTCGCTCAAGACCAACATTAACACAAGCAAGAACGCCACCGTTATCATCGTCATCGAAGCCATCTGTGAAAATAAGAAATGGGAGAATGTAAAATTATTTTCAGCTCACTTGTGAAACCTCCTTGTTTTTCAGCTTTAAGCCAGAGTGAGACGCCAGTAATTACCTGCAGTCGGAATTTTATATCATTCGCGGAGATAATTTCTATAATCTGTCTTGATTCCTTTAAAGCCCTTTGATTAAGAGTTGGAAATTTAGATAGTCGTGATTAAATTCTTAATCAGATCGTGAATAATTTATAGACTTTGGTCTCTTTCTTGTTCACGTAGACATAGAAATGAACTGTGAAATTCAGAACAATGGTGTGAAAAATTAAGGAATTTTTTTGTGAGCTTTCAATATTAAACAAAAAAGCGTAAAAGTATACGTTTTTAATCCACACTTGAAGATATGTTTAACTCCCACGTTTTAAATGATATCCGAGCAGAGAGCTGACATGTCATGTTTTATTCAATAAATTACTTTGTGCTAGTAATTTTCGTTTTTGAAATAGATAAAGAACTTGATAGCAAGAGATCTGTCTGTGAGGTCTTCTCGTGCGACATAACTTAAATGGAAATAAAAAAAAATGGATTAGCAATTTTTGGTTTTTTCCAACCGACACTTTTTTCCACCTTTATCAGCCTTCACGATACCAGCTCACTAAGTAAAAAAGAACTTTGACTTTACACAAGAAAAGATAAAGTGTCTCTTGCTCTGAAGCACAACCACCGCGTTTAGCCCATTTTTCTGAGTAACAATGTACTTTTCTCTCCTTTGTTATTATGCAATAATACACGGACACAGAAATTTCTGCCCAGTTTAAAAATTCGTTTATGCTCTTCAAGTCGTTCAATCTCTCAGGAAAGAGAGCAGATTGGTCGCCATGAATCTATATATTCACAACAAATGGGTAAAATTAATCGTATTTCGGCCATGGATGATAAATAGTTACAAATAATTCCTCCCTCGCCCTCCCCTTGTAAGCTATAATTAATTCAGAGGCATGAAACGATAACGAAAAAAAACTTCAGACTGCGACGCCACACTATACACGATTCAGAATACCTTGCAACTTTTATGTAAGCGATGTAAGTTTCACCAAGGCAAAATAATGAATATTTACGCAATAAATTTAAGGAAACATGTACCGTGAAGTTCGGCTCCAAAGAGAGAATGCTAAATGACTTGTTTGTTTGATTTCGTCCCAATAAAATGCGTTTCTAATGTCAGAATTCATCTCAATTGCTTAAAATTCAGAAATTCGAGTTAAGGTTATTTAATTTTAAAAAGTAACACACACCACTTTTTCCCTGTAACTTTAAAAAAGCAAAGCAAGGTTCGTAATATCTTTTTAGCATCGTGGGTGGTAAGTATGTTTCAGTCATACATTAGAGCTGTACTAAAGTATTTGTCATTATTTTTTTAACCTGTGGTCAATCTTTTAGCCAAAGCCTACGAATAAATATGGGCTTTACCATTAAGCTCATTTGCTCGCACTGAATTGTATGTGTTTTTATCTGGTTTAAAGACGAATTCTCTGTTCGTTCACGCAAAAGCCTGGCAACATGGAGAAAGGTCACCCATAATCCTTGTAAGACACTTCTTGATTTACACACATCTCAAAGAAATACGCATTATATTTGATCAATGTCGCGCAACAGTTAAACACGTGACCTACACTACACTTTTTACTCGCTCCTTCCATTGAATAGTTTGTCAATCACTGCAGGGTACACACACAAAAATGTTTCTGTTTGGCTACGTAGGCTTAGGAAAGCCATTCCACTAACTTTTGGTAGGCCCTCTTGTAATCAATTCGCTCTCCCTTAGTTTTTGGCGGGAATTTCCAAAATGATGAGATGCAAACTTTGAAATGATTGTGCACATTCCGAAACTCGAAAAAGCTGCACTTGGTCTGTTTTCAAAACCTCATCCGGTAGAAACAGCTGGTCATATTAGGTCGTATAGCTCCTAATTCGACCTTTGCTGTTGGAGCATAGTGTCACCTCATGTCATGACCCTCCAGTTTTCTGTTCAGCGATGCGTTTTTGATAAGTCTTAATAAATGTTTCATTATCATAAAAATAATCGACCAGTTACATTAGCCAGACCAGAACGAGTGGCAAAAAATTTGGCAAAGGTACCATGCTTAATGAGGTGAATGCCTAAATAAAAAGGAGAATAAGTTATTTTAGCTTTGTTCTTTTTTTTTTTTTTGCTGTTAGTATTAATTATCTTTTTGATTTACGATCGCCTCTCAGTTTTCACATATTGCTGTACAATTGGTTTTCTCTTGTAAAACGTTTAACTTCGAAGCTGCTACAGAGAGTTTAAGTACAAACGATAAGGTGGTAGTAATGTTTTTAATAAAGAAATTAACCACAGACAAAAAAGTGCTGCGATAACTATAAGCATTCTAATTGGATGCTGGAGTTTGAAATATTATGATGACCGACGAATTACTTTAATTAAGTAGATGGCTATCTGCTTTCAAGTTGGTTTAGCTTTTTTGGAGATACGTTCAATAAAATACGATAAGATAAGAAACAAACAAAGTATAAACAAAATCAAACAAACCCGATTGCCATATTGCGGAAATTCGCACGCTATCTTAATCAACAAAGAAAAAAAAAGACTTGATGAAGAACAACCTTTACCTTTTTCAATAGGCTCGTTGTTAGCTAGTGCAAACTGGATGATGGATAAGGTTTCAGCAGGTCTCAAAGGGTAAGAGGCTTTTACCGCAAACGTTTAAAAATTTGGTCATTTTACGGCTAACAGTTTATTTATTTCCCTTGCGATTAAAAGAAAAAAATTACAATTAACTTTTTTTACAACAAACGGTTAAAAAAATTTTTAATTTTTACGTGAAGTGATTGATATAAGAAAGTGTTCCCTTGATCTTCTCTTTGGAGTAAACCTTCATGAAACTTCATGCAATAATGCGGATAAATTAGAAAATAACACCACGCCAGAATACATCAAGCCCATAACTCAGATGACTGTAACTCTTTAAAAAGTTCTATAATACAATTCATGCCTCTCATCTTATTTACCCTTCTAAAAGGATTTTTTTTTAAATCTTCTTTGTCTGTTTTACTCTTTTGAGAGCAAAGTAAGGAGTCAAATAGTAATAGCTCAAAATACGACAGCGGCACATTGTAATAAATTGTAACTTCAAAATAAAATGCAGGTGAAATCACGTAGGTAAATGAAAACTGACGCGCTTACTGGACATGACGAGAGAACAAGAAATAAAGGGAGAAAAACAGTACAGTAGAATTAAAGAAATCGTGGTCGTTTAATTAAGTGCATGTAATTTAGCAAAAAAAGAAAAGAAAAGAAAAGTGACAAGAGCATCACTTTAGGAAAAGGTGAAAACCTGGCTGCATGTTAAGAAATATTTGTTACATAGTAGCGAAGTTATGACCTGTTCACAGAAATTTCAACACAGACTTTTTACCTTCTTAAAAATTTCCCTACCTTTAGACAAAGATGCCTGCTTTAGTGCAAGAATGTTTCCCTGCATGGATTAAAACTAAATGGTCCACTTGAAGCGAGTGGTTGCTTGTATGACAGAAGTACTACTATACTTGCAATTTCACTTAAATAGCTGCTGTGGAGTGACCAGATAAGAGAGGAAGCATATTTCAACTTAATGGGAGTTGTGGTTTTGTGGTAAGTTTTGAAAGAAAGAAAGAAGATGATATGTCGAACCTTGGGTACAACTTGTGACACATCTTCAACCACATAATTTCAGTTTTCTTAATTTTGCCAAGATTCCTTCCAATCGATAAAAAAGAAAAGCATAAACATACATGAATAAATGAGTTTCAGCAGATATTTCATTTCGTATCATATATGTGTTAAAAGAAGACGAAAAAGATTAAAAAATATATTTAACAGTGTCTTGATGAGCTCGTCGAACTACACAAGTTGAAACACCGTCAAACCACTTTGTAGCAGCGTAAATCCTTTTTAAACCTTTTTCCTGCAGTTCCACATTGATAGAAAGCACACCCTATTACTAAAAATGAAATATAAAAATATTTTTCATTTTTCATTCTTCCAGTCACTCATGTATCTCCTGTCGCAAGAAAAACAAAATAAACTTACAGCGCCTTCGAGTCTGCTGATAAAATCCAGTTTAAAATTTTTTTAGGGGAAATAAAAGGAAAAAAAAAATTTCAATTTTATCTTACATAAGAACACAGACTCTGGATCTCAATGCAGATTACTGCCCAAACTTTGTAGTTCTGTAATTGCAAAAAGAAATAGGAAATTGTTTCAATTTGTCTCGCATTCCCATGTAAACTTTCGAAACACCCTCAATCAGTGATTATATGATCACAGTCAGACCACAACTGATTATGAAATCAGCTTAAGGTTGTTATTTCAATGACAACCCGAAACAGCCTCAAACACCTGCTTTTCTCCAGAAGCCAAAAATAAAATGCGTATATTTCTTCAAATGTGAAATAAATATTCATTTTCAGATTCAAATTTAAAAAAAAATTTGGCGATATTTTCATCTGCAAACCATTATGTTGTTCCATAAGCTTGCACTATAAAACATCCGTTAAAAAAAATGGAAAACCCTTACAGACGTAATTTTTTTTAAGGAGGAAAAAGCAGGGAAATGAGCTCCTAAGACTATGATCTAGAATGATCCATCATTCCATTCCTCTTTTTCTCTCCCGTGTAAGCAAAGTTCTTCTTTCACGATTTTTATTCGTTCAAAATTCTTAATGTATGCGCATTTTGTTTCCGTTGTCTGATTACACCTTTCTACAAAACAGAATGCCAACATTTAAGGCAAAAACTTTTTTCCTATTACAGAAGTAAACCTTTACAATGACTTAATTATTTCAAAGAATTTCTCTATAAACACTTCAAATAAGATTTTTTAAAAGCCACCTTTGACTCCAAAGGAACGTTCCATTTTACGTTTTTCGGAAGAAACAATGACCTTGTTACTTTAAGGTCTGAGAGGCTGCTTATTACAATAAATCCTTTCATGAGATCCACCATGAGGCCTGTGACATACATACCTTCTCTTTCCAGATCAAAAACGCCTTGAAAAAAAAGAATCTTGATGTAAAGTTGATCGGTTTTGGTGAGGAATGTTTTGTTGTGCTATACACGCAAAGCCAATAACCAAATGAAGGTATGAATTAGTGGGCAAGAAAATAAAAACCACCCTGGTGTTTAGCATTTCCAATTCTGCTTCTGATATCTTTAAGTGGTTTGAAAAATTAT